GCTAGAAGAGGGGCCTTCTCAACACTGATTTGGCAACTGCTGCAAGCCCACTTGCTTGCTGCCCACTACGGCATTATCAATAAAAATTTTAGGGTAGTAGGCCGCCATCCTCTAAGCTATCTTTCGTCATTCTTCTGAGACGCGTGCTATCCGCTAAACTATTGCAAGGAACTTCGTGCCAATTGTTCATACAGTAGTTCATACGATGAGGAATTAGGCCTGAAGTGGGTACGCGCCACACTTAATAGCTGAACAAAAAGAAGCTTTTGTAATGGGTTGAAGCATTGGATGACCCAGTCGATACGCTATGCATTCGCATTGTGCGACAACTGCTTGCTTTTTCGATCTTTTAAAATGCTTTATAAGTCGTATTAACGCGATTGCTTTCCCGACATCAAGCCTGACTAACCCATGTTTCCCATTAAGTTTGCCCAAGCGCAGGTGTGGCTCACTGGAAGAATACTGGTCTTGCACCCTGTGGACCCTGGTTCGAGTCCCACTATGTAATTTGTAGAAGGTTTTCTTTTCTTCTAATTTCGCGTGACGTGGTTTCGGACACTGGCGGCGGCGGACAACAATGGTGCTGCGCGAGACCCGAGTTGTGATTTCATAACAGCTTTCACTGTAATAAGCGACCGATGATGTCGCGCAGACATATCGGGAGAAAATGTGCACAGAGCGGTTGTCGAAGCACCAGAGTGACCACGTTACGATTACAAACCATAACGACAATCAAAGGCACTTGTCCGAGACCGACGAGCGCAGGCTAGGCGGACTTTCTGAGAGAGAGCAAAGGCGAAGCCAGTGGCTCCACGAAGAGTTGCAGTGCCTTCGTAACGGGTAGCTGCCTCTCAGTACTATGTAGTTCCATCCTAGACGAAAAATAAGCCGCTTGTTTTCTGTTTCCCAATAATGAGGATGATAGTGATTGTGATGATAATGGTGATTGTTACGGACTGCCATTTTTGCGACCCGGTGTCACGGCAATTAACGGGCGCCGTACTACCCCGCTGACCGGCGGGAACGGCGGGCGCATGAAAGAGAGCCGGGAAGTGCAGAATGGGGTGTTCTTCGAACGTCGCCGCCGACGTTTGATCGTTTGTCCCTACGGCGGCGTCTGCAGGGTCGTGGAAGGCCGCGATGTACCCCGAACAAGGTTTAGACTACAGGACGCACCGGCTGAGAGCCAAACAGTCTGACCGTTCCCACGGGAAAACTTCTGGTGCCCAAGCCGTATGACAGCACCCCAACAGGTTGTCACTCTCGCTAAATTGAGGGCCCTCTCCTAATTAAAAAGGGGTGGGGTCAGTATATTTTTTGGGGCGGAGTTTCCAACAATGAAACACGCATGATTGGACCCTTGTAGCGGTCTATTGTCCCCAAGGAAGAGAGCGAGGGGACACGAGGGGGATTTAAGCGCAGGATTTTGCCCTGCTAGGCAGGCTTGTCGCTGACCAACATGGTTTAGAAACAGATCAACAAGTATCTCATCTAGTAGTTTTTAGTGTAGCTCTGTATCGGCTGGCCACCTAAACTTAGCCGTTCGTCTAGTTGTGACGCGATATTAACGTCTGCAACGTAGACATCGGGACTTCGCCTCGAGTTAGCTCAACCTGCCCGAGGTCACCTGCAAGCACTAGCCTCCCGGAGCCACCAGCGTTGCAACACCGCTGACATCGCAGTCATGCCAGAACTCTCTTCGACTTCTCGCATCGGATCGTCGGGGACGCAACGCTGCCGGTCATCACACGTATGCCTTCACCTGTTTATATCTTCGAACTTTCTCCTCCGTAGTTCTATTGTTGTTAGTTTGTGTAGTTTGTAATAGTTCTCTCTCGTAAGCTGATTTATTGTTTTTATATGTATTTTTAGTTGTATCAAGTGTTGATGTATTTTGTTAGTTGTATTGAAGTGTTGTACTAGATCCCGTGTGCTGCAATATCACTAGAGTAAAGTTTGTTTTGTTTTCTCATGTCTCTGATCTCTTCACTGTCTCTGCTTGCGTACGGAACGAACTAACCTGCTGTCATTCCCGTCGCCGACTTCGCGCTGGCGACGCTAGAGTGGCAGCTTGTAACAGTGATAATAATGATGATGAAAACTTTATATGATCGCTTTGATCGAAGCTTTGTCGAAGCTGTTCCAGCAATGTCGATGAGCACAGCTTCAAGTCATTCAAAGCAACACGCCACTTTTGATGTGCATGTTAATCAGCGTCAAAACTTACAACATGCAATTTTATTATGTTTCATTAAGTTCGCGGATTAGTGTTGTTATGATCGGCCTCCCTGACATGGCTCCGCTTCCATGGACGTGAGACGGCCGCGGGACAGTGCTCCCAGAGGTGAACCACAAGCGACAATGACACGCAAGCCGTACTTGGAATTTTGCGGCGCAGCCGCCTCCCTAGATAGAACCCTTTGAATTTACCGGACTGACTGATGACCTATGAAGGGCTGTTTAAGTCAAAACGGCTTAAAAAGGGCAGTTATCTCTGTTCGTCGGAGTACCGCGGACAGTGAGCCAAGTGACTGAGATCCGTGTTAGAGTGCTTCTCGCGTTCTCCGTGGTACCGCCATGCCACTGTTTCTACAGACCATGGGCTGCCTGGTGCCGTAGACTCATCACTGCAATGGATTACAGAGTTGATTTACACGTAGAACTCAACGTCTTCGTGTTGTGCTGTGCCGAGCGTGGTGTGCTGTGTTTCCTCCCTCGTCATAGTACGAACTGGGCGCTCCTCTTTCCTCCTTCGTGGGTTGGGAAGGGGTGGCGTTTCACCTTCCCCTTTTGGGGGCGGAGGTGAAGATGGCAAAATTCATTTGACTGACCTGGCCTCTGCTGTTTTTTCGCGCAGGGAATCCTGGGAAGGCCAGGCCATAAAACAACAGCGCTGAGGCACTCCCGACAAGCTCCCGGAAGCTTTCATTATCTTCCCACTAATAGTTTCCATGATGCTGCTCCTATCATGCAGTAACACGCTACCTGTAAATAATGTAAATAAAAATTACTGTTAACAGCTTCGGGCTCCTCTCCTCGACATCTCCCCGAGACTCTGGCTGGATCTGGTCCTCTGGGCAGACCTCCAACTAGATCAGTGTTTATTGATTTCTGGAGAACGAAGGTAACATATGACGCTTGGCGTGGAAAGAAAGGTTTGGGGTGTGAGAAATGCACAGAGTAATACATCATCGTCGTCGTCATCATCATCATTATCCTGACTACGTCCACTGCATGATAAAGGCCTCTCCCATTATCCACCATTTAACTCGTTCCAGTGCTTGCTGCTGCCGTTTTGTACCCGCAAACTTCCTGATCTCATCTGCCCAGCTAGCCTTCTGCCTTCCCCTAACGCGCTTACCTTCTTTGGGAATCCAGTTAGTTATCCTTATGGACCAGCGGTTATCCTGTCTATGTGCTACATGCCCAGCCCATCTCCATTTCTTCTTCTTGATTTCAACTGTGATATGCCTAACCCCAGTTTGTTCCCTGATTCACTCTGCTCTCTTCTTGTCTCCTAAGGTTACACCTACCATTTTCCTTTCCGTCACTTGATGCGTCGTCCTCACTTTAAGCTGAACCCTCTTTGTGAGCCAATTTATTACACAGCTACACTTCAACGACTTATACGCTTATGTGGTGCAATAGAACATTGTGGCCGATTTGCAAACAATGGGCATTTATGTAGTCGCATATCCCTAAGTGCTCTATAGAAAAAAATCAAGCTGATCAACTGGTCTCATATAGCTAAATATGGTCCCTAAACCTTTTGAGCAGTGTGCTTATAGTGTGAGCCGACATTGTATGTTGTGGGGACGTAGGCCTGCGATGTCATCGAGGACACGAACAGAATGCGTGGCCCACGGCTGTTGCGAGCAGGCGTTCGGCACCAAAGGAAAACGTCAGTCTTCGACTGTAGCTTTGACAGTAAAGGATGAGTTATTTTTGGCTCTCTGCATTATCTAGTCTTTGAGAACCCTAGCAAGCTACTGAATCAGGGGCCACACCCCTGGATTCACATGATATGAAGTGTATTTTGTTTCATTAAGCGCATTAAAAGTGCGTTCGCTTGCGTCATTATTTGCTTTGTAAGCATACGAATTATGAATGAGACCGCACACGCGAAGAATGGTTCGCGCCACTCCGAAACCAGCTCCGTGTAGAGGCACTGCACGCCGTGATTGCGTACTGATGCAGTCAAAAGAGTAGTGGTAGTTCCTTAAAGGCCAACTCTGGCGATTTTAGGGGCGAAGCTCCTTAGGGTCGAGCCATGTCTGCTGTCCGTCGGCGTGACACGCTAGTAGTGGTAGCGCCTGGTAGAGGGGGGGGGGCGGTGCCAGCGCTCGCTCTTGGCGCGTGCTGCGGTTTGGAGGTGGTGGTGGTAGTGGTTAGAAGATGAGAAAAGGCACCTAATTTCTGCAACCCGGTCGGGAGCATGGCGCAGTGCCTGCGGGGAAGGGAAAAGGGAGAAAAGTGGAAAGATGAGAAAAGATTAAGTGAGCAGTGGCACGGTCGTCATCAGCACGAGAAGCAGTGCAGAAGCAAGGGTAGGGGTGGCAAGGGGCCCGTCCTCAGCGGTAGGCCACGATTCCCGTCTCGTCCAGGATCTCCGCCAGGCTCCGGAGCGCTGGTAGATGGGGACGAGATGGAAACAGCAGGTGCGCTAGGGTGATGGCAGGAAGGCCGTGTCTCCGGTAGGCTGCAGTGACCCTCGAACATTCCTGGGCCAAGGCAGGGCAGGCACAGAGGTGGTGCTCGAGGGTCTCGGGGTCGCCGCAGCGGCTGCAGGCTGGGGAGGCGCAGCATCCCTTGAGGTAGCGGTGGGCCGCGGTCCACATGCATCCGGTCCGCAGCCGCAGCAGGTTGGCTCGTTCTCTCCTGGTAAGGCCTGCCTTGGGAAGACGCCTGGGTCCCCGCCCATTGGCCACCCTCTGGTCCGGGTGGACTGAGGTGAGGAGCTTCTTGATACGGGCCTGCGTGTAGTCTTTCACCGCCACGGCTTAGGTGATGGGGGTTCCCGGCTGGTCTGCTGCCTTGGCCAGCGTGTCCGCCTCCTCGTTGCCAGCTATGCCCACGTGAGAGGGCAGCCAGCGGAAGGAGACAGACGTCCCGGCTGCTGCTAGGGCCCGGTACTTGTTTGCCAGGAGACTCCCCGTGAGCCTGTCATGGCGATGGTTGGCCAGCGTCTGCAGGGCTGCCTTGCTGTCACACAGGACTGCGACCGGTTCAGCCGGAACGTCCTCGGCCAGCAGGTGCCGCCACCAGGTGTAGCCCTGCCAGCTCTGCGGCCGTCGAGCTCGCCGGGAAGGGTAGTCGCCACTGCCTGCTGATGGCCCGGGATGGGATGACGCAGGCGGCCGCTGCTGAACCATCTGGCACGACGGATCCGTCAGTGAAGACCTGGAGCCGCCCTGCCAGTTGCTGCTGGAACTTGGAGACGGTGGTCTGTTGCAGTGCTGCAGCATGTGTTCGGCGCTTGGTTAGCCCGTCCAGGTACGGGTGGACCTCAGGCGGCTGGTGGTGGGGTGGTGGAGGGTCCACCGGGACTGGCGGGTTCGGGACCATCTGGTGGTAGAGTGCACAGAGACCACCCATCCGTGACCTCGGCTGACTGCGAAGTCGCTCCAGGAGGGTTCTGCCGTCGGCAGCACGGTGTAGGCGGTCTACGTTCCCCAGAGCACGCTGGAGCATGTGCAGGGACAGGGGCCACTCTCCAGCCTCGGCCAGGGTCGCTGCCACGGGGGAGTACCTGGGGAGCCTCAGGATGGCCCTCACTGCTCTCCTGGGATGTCCCTCCAGGTCCAGTCTCCTGGCAGGCATCAGGACCACTAGTGGAAAGGCGTACAGCAGGACTGAGGATGCTGAAGCCTGGTTGAGTCAAAGCGCCAACTTGGTTGAGCAGCCGCGTCCACGCTGCTGTAGCTTGCTGATGGCTCCCTGGACACGCCGTACCTGTGTGCAGGCGACCTTGGCAGCTGGGACCCAGGTGAGACGGTGGTAGATGGTGAGCCCCAGGTGCTTCACCGTCAGCTTCCAAGGCAGGTTGCGGTTGCCGACCCTCAGCTGCTTCACGTATAGCGTCGTGCTGCGGCCAGCTGGTGGATCAGCAGGGCCTCAGTCTTGGTTGCGGAGACCTTGAGTCCGATGCCACTCAGGTAGGCGGACACCGCATCCAGGGCCTCCTGCAGTGACGTCTTGATAGCTGGAATGGACCGCCTCGGTCCCCGGGCCCAGAGTGCCACGTCGTTGGCGTAGACAAAGCAGCGGGCCAGGAACCTGGTGCCTGTCGGAAGAGAAGCGGGGAGCCCGGCCATCGCCAAGTTGAACAGGAAAGGGCTCAGCAAGGAGCCCTGTGGTACACCTGCAGTGATGTCCCTGGTTTTGCTGGTCTCCTTTCCGACTCGAGCCCGGGAGGTCCTGCCGCTCAGGAAGGCAGTTACCAAGCTGCGGAGGCATCCGTCAACGCCAAGTCGGTCCAGAGACGTCTCGACGACCTCGTGTGGGAGACTGTCAAAGGCACTCTCCACGTCCAGCAGGAGCAGCGTGGCCACGTCACCACAGCTCTTGGCATCCTCAAGGGTGGCGACGATGTCGGAAATGGAGTTGGCTGTGCACCGGTGGCGTCTGAAGCCAGTCAGTTGTTCCGGGAAGAATTCGAGTTGGCCAGCAATCCACTCGAATCGCTCCAAGGCCACCTTCTCCAGCACTTTGCAGGGTGCAGAGGTGAGAGAGACTGGCCTGTACAAGGAAAGGGCCATGGCTTTCTTCCGGAGCTTCAGGATCGGGGTGGCGACCGCAGTGCGCCATGACTCCGGTAGGACCCTACTGCCCCAGACGTCATTGTAGTACTCGAGCAGGCGCTGGCGGCCAGCTCCGTCCAGGTTACAGAGCATCTGGAAGGTGACACCATCAGCTCCCGGGGCACTTCGTCCTTTCGTTCCTGCAAGGGCAGCCCCGAACTCGTGTTTCCTGACGGGTTCGCAGCACAGCTCTTGTACTTGTGCAGCTGTCCACCCAGGATGGTGGCAAGTAGCAGGATACTGCAGCACAGCAAGGGGAGGTGCAGCAGGCAGCTGGGCATTGTCCCTCGCAGAAAACTGGTCGGCCAGCTCTTCTGCCAGGTCCGTTGCCTGGATGGAAAGGTGGACGGCCAGGGACATCACTTGGTTGAACGGCCGTGGCACCATCAGCAGGCACTTCAGCAGGCGCCAGGCCTTGGTGCCGTCCCGTGATCGGTTGATGTAGGCGCAGACGCCCACCCAGCCCTGCTTCCTGCGCGCTCGGGCGTGGCGTCTGCAGGTGGCTTCGACCTTCCGGAACACTGTCCAGAGCTCTGGTTGTTCCTTCTTCAGAGCCTGGCGTTCTGCCTGCCTCCGTGCTGCTCTCAAGGCTAGGTGCCGGATGTCTGGAACAGGCTGCCCTTGCTGTGCCTTGACAGCGACTGTTGCAGCCCGGGCACTGTCAGCCACCAGCTGCATGAGGTCCTTGTCACCCGTGTCCTGCCTGAACAGCTACCGGTATACCCGCCAGTCTACCGGACGGTACTCTCGATCCCTGGCGGCCTTGCCTCGGAAAGGGGTGATAGGATGGGCAGGTGGTCCGAACCTCAGGCGTCCGGAAACGGCGACCAGGCGTACCGGCAACCCTCCGTGGCCACGCTGAGGTCTATGGCTGTGGTGGTGCTGTTGGCTCCGCGACGCAGGTAGGTGACGGCCCCTGTGTTCATGATCACCAGGCCCAGCTGCAGCAGGACGTCTCGAACCTCTCGCCCTCGTACATCAGTCCTGCGGCCGCCCCAAGCTGGATGGTGGGCGTTGACGTCTCCGCACAGCAGGAAGTCCTTCCCTAGTTGGTGCGCAAGCTGCCGAAGACACCCGGGGTGCCATGGTTCCTTGGGTCTGATGTAGACGCTGGCCACCGTGGTGTCAACACCGTCGAGGCGGACCCGGACGGCGCAGCACTCGAAGGGCCCTCCGACCAGGTCGGCCACGAATACCTCTGTCTGCAGCAGGTCCCGCTTCACGTAGATGGCACAGCGGGAAAGTCCTTGTGGGTGGTTGTCGTCCAGACAAGGGGCAGCACTGCAGTCGGTCAGGATGCAGCTGGTCCGGCTGCTGTAGCCGACGTAGCCTGGAAGTCGGAGCTGCTCTGCCTGGGCGTAGACCTCCTGAAGTGCGAGGACGTCGTAGTAGTTATGAAGTAGGTGTTGTGCGAGGTCGTCTCTCCATGTTTTCAGCCAGTGGACGTTCCACCGGAGGACGCTCGGGCGTCGGGGCTGACGTCGCCTGGTGGGAGGAGCGGTTTGAAAGAAAAGCGCTAGGGGCGCGTCTCTCTCTCTCTCTCTCTCTCTCTCTCTCTCTCTCTCTCTCTCTCTTTTTCGACTCTCTCTCTTCATCTCTCTTTTTCTCTTTCGCAGTCCAGAGTTTTGGGCTCGCACAGTAATGCCAACCCTAAAAATTTATCCTTAGATCTAGGGATCTTTCATTTCTTTCGGGGATTTGGCGTCTTTTTTGTTGATTCTAGGGATTTTTATAAGGCTGCGGGAATCTGACATTTCACGGCCGGATTAAAGGCATTACTAAGTGACCACTTTCTTTCAACTAGAAACGCTGTAAAAATTATAGTTTAGGCTACTTGATGTTTTTTATTTAAGATAGCCTTGACGTTATAATGAATTGTGTGAAGGTGATAGCAGTTTTGTAATGTGAGATTGTTATAGTCTGAATATTGCGGAAAATTGAGCTATGTAGTCGTAAGAGTTAGACGAGTTACCTGAGTGATTGCTGCACTGTGAAACAAAGGTAAATTTTGTATTGTAGTGCACATAAACACGTGTCAAGACTACGCTCACTGCGTGTCTTCACCGAGCAATGTCTCTATGTAAAATACCTAAGAATATTATAGAAAAATGGAGCGAAATAAGACTGAAGATTTGGTAAGGTTGTAGGGGTTCAATATTCCGCAAACGGTGCGATGAAGGAGTGTGTTTGGGTGTTTCGCTCTTTCTGTCATGCCCCTTTCATGAAAGCGTAAAAATGACGAATAGAGCTGAGTGAAAGTGCAGAGAAAAGGCATAGCTATCAGCCAGTAATAGAGCGCCCACTTGCATCATCTGAAACTATTGCAACAGGGATTGCAAATGTGGAAAATTAAGAATAGAGCCCCAGCTGTCAGGCTGCAAGTACAAGAAAGGCGCGACAGACTTGCGGTTGACCGAATGATCACATCTATGTCTTCAATGCGTGTGCAAAGTGAATTTGACATGCAAATTCGTCTCGGTGGCAACAGGTGCTATTTGAAAACACTTTATATACAACTGCCACAGAAAGTGTAAATACTTTATAAGATCATTAATGATAATTTTTACTTTTAACAAAGTTCAGAAGAGCTTGGCCACAGATCACACTATCTTAATACTTTTTAAACGTCAATTAGTCTGAGTAATGACATTAAAGTATAATCTAGAGATTTTTCTGGTAATCGAGAGATTTTTAGAGGATAGGATGAAATGCCTCCATGGGTTGGCATCACTGGCGCTCGCAGAGCGGCTGCAGCACGGAAGCGCAGACAAGTGGATCCAGACTTGCGAAGCTGCAGCGAAACGGCAGCGCCGGCAAGCTGACCCGGAGCTGAGGGCCCACGAAGCTGCAGCGGCACGGAAACGTCGGCAAGCTGATCCAGAGATGGCGAGGGCTCGCGGAGCTGCAATGAAATGGCAGCACCGGCAATGTACGGGGGAATTGACGGTTAATGATCCCCCGGAGCTTCGCCCACTCGTCATCATTCACTTCGTGGATATGCTGCGATTTTTTTTCTACCGTGTCAGGGTAATGTTGCTTCTATGTTCCTGAGACACTCGTGTGCCACGACCAATAGCTGAAATGCTCGGCGAATTTGAATGTAATTTTTAATTAGCCAAAAGGTTCAATACTGAAACCAAAACCACGCCGAGCGCACTGTATAAGTGTGACATAAGAACCGGAAATCGTACAAAGCATGCTGGTCCCACTGGCGCGGACTTTGAAAACTGTGAAAGCCGGGACGAGCAGGCACTGAGAGCAAATGTGAGCGCGCTGAGCATGAGCTGACATGTCTAAGACTGACAATGTCTCAAAGTCAGAGCCATCGGACAGTGGTGACTCAGCGGGACTCCATCAAAAATTGATCGGAACACAGCCGTTTTGTTTGGTAACCAGCTGTGCTGCCTGATCGCACTAATCTACCTATCACGGAGAGTACTGTCACTTGGAAAGCCGTAATAGTAAATTCTCACAGTCTTGTGTGAGTGGTTTGTGCAGCCCACAACGCAACACCAACTACCACCAATCGCACACCCATCCACAGTGAACAGGAACTCGTGAGCCAAATCAGCAAAAAAGCGCCGGCAAAACACCACGGAGCCAGGAAGGGTGCTTTTCCGTGCCAAACACCGCCACCGTTGCCTTATGAACGCAGAATAAACGATGTAGCGGCCAATTAGCGCTGCCATTGGCTGCGTCACTTCCGTTGATTTGCCAAATATGACGTCACCAGACAGTGTTGTCAATAATTTTCGCAAGCCAGGTGAGCGTTTCGCGGCAATCTTCAAAATTCATTTGCCAACAATCAGCGCATCTCTTAAGCCTGTAATTTGGCATAAACCAATGACGAAAGTGTGCAACGGAACGTACCGACTGAATTTAATTAGGATCAATTGACCCAGAAAAATTGCCGGAGTTGGCCTTTAAGAGTGATAGCCTGGTCGCACGGCCATACCAAAGGTCAGCAGCAAGCAGTTGCGCCAAACTAAATACAGGGAAAACATGTAGACAAAAAAAAAA